TTCTGGACTGGAGGCACAGCCCCACTAAGACAGAAGCTCTGGTGGGAGTGGGTAGGGGATACACCAAGTGTCAGCACTCACTAGCGCTCCTGGCAGGATGAACTCAGAGGCCCATAGCTTGGAGCAGAGTCCCATGAGTGGGTGCAGGTGGGCAGGGAGGAGTGCCCGGCCATGACCCTGAGGATGGGCAGAGAGGAGCCCTTGGGCTGCCAGAGCGTCCCAGAAGACTGGGCACTCGAGGGCCCCATTTATTTTTATCAGCAGGATGACTAGCTCCAGTTTCTTTCTACCTCCCCACTGTAATAGATTTCTGGGCATTTGACTGGGAGCTTGAGCGGTTAGCATTTGCATGATGGGTCTGGGTACCCAGCTCCCTCAGCAGCACTCTTTCTGGGGTGTAGGCGTCAACAGAGCTCATACTGCTTGGGGTAAGCAGTTCTGGTGGCTCTGAGTCCTTGGCGATGGCCTGTTGTAGGTGGGGGGGGTGTGTGTGTGTGTGTGTGTGTGTGTGTGTGTGTGTGTGTGTGTGTGTGTGTGAAAGAGGCTTGGGATGAGGGGCTGCAGAGATGCCATTTCTGAAATGTCCTGGAGCCATGTGAAGACTTGATTTGTAGCTGACTCTCCCGAGTCAGCCAGAGCTTGGCACAACCTGGAGGTTATGGTGGATCCCAGAACAAGGTTCAGCTTGAACTCCTATGGTGAGACAATCACATCCTAAGCCAGGCGTTATAGGAGGAAAGGGGGCTTTGTCATCCCTAATTCCCTTCCATGCAGAAGCCAGACAGCTCAGAGCACAGCTTTATCCAAAAAAAAGAGAGTAGGGCAAAGTAGGAGGGCAAGAGGGATAGAAGGGAACTTGCTTGCTGTTGAGAGGAGGAAGAAGCCCTTGCCACAGGAGGGGAAAGAAAGAGGCTCTGAGCAGCACAACTGAGGTGAGATGTAGCCCTGTGGGATGAGCTGGGATGATGGGAAGAAAGGGGAGATAGGCCTGTCTGGGAATCCTGTGCGGGGTTGGGATGGGATGTGGTGAGGATGTAGAAAGATGTGACATTCCACCCCAGGGCGGCTTGTCATGTGGAATGTCCAGGAGCCCCTCAGCTGACGAGCTCCAGCAAGGTGGGTGGCAGGCATTGTGACCACTATCACCTCCCTTCTTGCCCTCCCAAGTTGGGAGCAGGGCTTGTGCTCCAGGCCTTGGAAAATCCAAGGGACCCGGTGCATGTGCTGCATGGGGTGGCTCTGCCCTTCCCTGACACAATAACATACCCACACTGAGACCACATGGACTTCAAGATGGCCCCAGTGACAAACAAACAGAATCCCTGCATTCTGGTTATGGTTGAGCCTTTGGGCCAGGTTTCTGGGGAGGGAATGGGAAGGCCCCCATTTCCTAGGGCCCCGGTGCCTCCTCTAGGTCTCTCTGAAAAGCTTGAGGGTAAAGTTATATCTCTGTGTGTTCTTAGTCCTCACTGAATGGGCAGAACCTTGAGCATGGATGATGCTGATGATGCTGATAACACCTGAGAAGAAAGACAGCCTCCCCAAGTGTGAATACGAGGCTGGCACTTTCTAGGCTTTCATTTCTGTCATAACTATTAGTTCTATTGCTATCCCCACTTTTCAGGTGGAGGAAACTGAGGCACTGAGCCATGAAGTAACTTGCCAAGGGCACAGAGCTCTAACTGGCAGAGCCCAGACTGGTCCCAGGCAGTGAGACGCTGGGGTCTCTGTCCCACACTGTCTGAGGTCTGGGCCTCTGTGAAGCCTGGCAGGTCATAGGAGTGCAGTTGAGATGGCACTATGGAAGAACCGCTGCCCTCACTCAGGCTTATGGTGACTTCAGTAGCCTGGCTCATTCTGAAAGTCAGACATACAGGGCATTGAATTTGTTTATTTCTTTGTCAGGCTTCCTTGATAGCACTGTCTACTACATTACTTGATCCAGCTGAAGTGGGAGCCCTGGAAAGGCAGGGGCCCTGGGCTCCTTTTTTTGAGTCAGGGTCTCACTGTGTTGCCCAGGTTGGAGTGCAGTGGCACAATCACGGGTCACTACAGCCTTGATCCTGGGCTCAAGAGATCCTCCCTCCTCAGCCTCCTGAGTAGCTGGGACTACGAATATGCACCACCACACTTGGTTAATTTTTTACAAATTTTTTTGTAGAGATGAGGTCTTGCTATATTGCCCAGGCTGGGCTGGAACTCCTGGGTTCAAGAGATTCTCCTGACTCAGTTCCGAAGTGTTGGAATTACAGGCATGAGCCACCAAGACCAGCCAGTTTTGGACTCTTTTT